GTGCTCCGCTGCCCTGCCCTCGCTAGACAGCACAGCCAGCTGTGTCCCGGCACCGTTTTGGATGAGGCGAGCACAGCCAGCTGTGTCCCGGCACCGTTTTGGATGAGGCGAGGAGGGTTTCCCATTCAGGCCATGGCTCATGCATTGTCATGCCACTTCTTATTAATCTGATGCAGTATGGCACTACTTAATCTTTCCAGGGCCTTTCTCAATCCCAATGCTTTTTGCTGGAAACTTATCTCTGCCGGATCCCCCGCCCGAGGCAGAGGAGCCCATACTGCTGTCAGCATCCTTCAGAGTGCATCACAAACTTGGGCATTTGCATGATAACATCGTGGCAAAGCCCTAGTGCAGTATCCATGTCATATTTAAAAGGGATTCATCATTGGAAAATCCCCTTCCCCCCAGTCTATTTGCTTGATCTTACCGGAGCTGCTTATTTGCTTTTCCACAGGCTTTTGAAGAAGTGAAACAAAGGTACGCTGAGCTGAAGGAAAGGATGGAGCAGAGCCCGGCTCTGGGAGAGCAGGGCAGCAGGGTGCAGAGCATAAACCTGGAGGCACAGGCTCTGTTTAACGAAACTTTGGCCATGTTGTTCAGGATGGAAAGTAAGAACCCAACGTAATAATCTCACGCGCTGGGGGGAAGAGCTTTTGACTCCCAGTGGGGTGAGGGAAAGAAATTACAGGGTAGACAACGTACTTTGGGCAGGGAGTGCGGATTTGGGCTGCATCTCTTGGTGCTGTGCCAGTAAATTTAGAATTCGTGAGGGTGCGTGGGTGGCCGTGGAAGGGATGCCCTCCCAGTGATGCCAATGTGGCCCCCCCTGTTTTCCTCCACACGCTCGCTTCCATTTTGAAGCATTCAAAAGCAATGGCTTTGGAGCAGTCGTGCTGGGGTTTTTGAGGGGGAGAAGGGGGAATGCAGGAGCAGGGAGCGGTGATATTTGTCTTCCTTGCTCCACCAGAGCTACCTCCCTCCTGCTGGGGAGGGTAATGGCTGTGATGCCTTCCCCCTGTCCACCATCTCACGGCGTAACCCTTTCCTGCCCTCTCTCTCCTCAGCTTTAGAGATGGAAATTCGGGAAAGCAATGAGGCTTGGCTGTCCAAGTCGGCCAGGCTGTCGGGCCTGGAGGATCAGGTGGGAAAGATCCGGGACGCCATCAACAAGCAAGTCGCCTACTACGAGAGCTGCTCCTGAGCCAGCTGCCCGTGCTCCAAGGGCATTGCCTTCCTCCTCTGCAGACACTGACTGCTGTATTTATTCCCATTTTCCGGCTGGAATTCTCATGCCCCTAATGTCTCTATTTTTAGCAAATTGAGTTTCTGTACCTCTGGAAAATAACTGCACTGAGCCAAAGGAGCAGCCCCCTGGAGAGAGCTAAACTTGGTTGGACTGGCTGAAGCTGCCCGGTGGTTGGAGGAGAAAGGGGTAGAGACATCAATCTTCCATTGCAAATAAAACATCCTCAAAGCTGTTATTTCCAGAGGGACTTACAAGCCAAGACTTTCTTTTTTTTTCGTTTTAGCCAATGCAAGCTCTTTTAGCTGAATTTCACTGTTCCAATTAAAACCTTCACGTGGGGCCTTTTATAACGTTTTATCTGCGCTGCAGTTAATCCTGAAAACTTGCCACGGCTTCGGTGTTTCCATCCTAGATCTTTCTTCAAAGACCCAGGTCACAGAAATGGAGAATTTTGTCTCTATCTATACAACCTACCTGTATTTATACAAATAAGAGCAATGCGGTCTCATATTCAAAGGTGAAGTCAAATGTCGCGTTTGACTTTCTGCCACCATCTGCTTATTTACTGTGTAACACTTTGCCAGAAAAATCCCGGAGGGAGCAGGTCTCCAGATGCATGGGAAATACTTTAGGGGGGACTTAATAGACCGTTTCCACATCAAATTTCTATGAATAAACAACAGGCACTTTACAAAACAAAACTCGGCTTTATTAAGCAAGTATTTATTGTGCAATTACAGACTTGGAAGCGGGGAATTTAGACCTTGCTGTGATTATTATCAGACATACGGAGGTTGCTAGCAGGTTGTCTCTGCCTTTGTAGCTGACGTGAGAACTGCGCAGCCTGGGCAGCTGGTTGGTGCTGAATTTGAGAGTGCCGAAGCCTGGGACTAACCAAAATCCAAGGAGTGGATAGGATGCAGATTGTAAAAATAACTGAGCTGCCACTGAGTAAAACTCTGCATGGCTTTGGTTTGTAGGATTCACGCTGTGCAGTGCACTTCTGCATTGGACAACTGAACAGTATACAGGGAACAAAAGCTTGTAGCGTTGAGCGGTGTCGTATGGATAATATACACTGGATGTGCTAGCAGTAGCCTCAGACTTTCCCTTGCTAAAGTGCCTTCTCCCAGCTTTAACGATCCAGAAACACCCTGAGGTCACTGCAGTGATGGATTCCTGGGACTAACGCGCTGCTGGGCGCCAGTCGGTCGCTGCTCTCGGAGACGCTGCTGCCCGCCCGCTCCTGGCGGGACACAGCCTCCGTTCTGGCTCGCACTGTTGATGTCTGGCTTTGAAGTGCAGAAAAAGAGTAAAACAGCCCTTCTGTTTCTGCAAGAGAGAGAGAGAATTTCAACTGAGGGTTGGACTTGGTTTCACCAGACCGCTACCTTCAAAACGTGCTCTGTTAATAAGCAGTAGCGCGGGGGTTAGGAACAGCTTGGATCCCTTTGTGTGCCTTATTTGTAAAGGGTCGTTACAGGACTGGTCACTGGGATGGACCTTTTTGGAGCCTATAGACAATCTCATTGGTGAAGAGAGGCAGAAGATGATGGGATGTAGCTCGCTTTATGTAGCTTTTGTGCAGAGCTGTGCTGGCGTGTGCTCACCTTTGAGGAACATTCTTTATTGCAGGATCTAACAGCGATAATTCCCAGTGCTCATATGTAATGGGGTGCAAATGGCAACAGTTTAGCTAGTCCAGAATTAATCCAAGCTATGGTCAAACAGGATGAAGCTTTCATGATTGTACTCTGCTCACCTACAAAACGAACGTCTCCATGCTCTGCTCTCTGGTGACAAAGCAACTTAAGCTGACCTGCCTGGCCCGAATCTGGGAAGGGGAACGGCCCTCAGGGTGCAGAGGTGTCCAGCCCACACTGGGCCGTGGGCCAGCAGCCTGCTGCCAGCCCTTTGCTCACGGTCACAGCTGAGACCCAGCTGAAAAGCCCTAATCCCAGCTGATGAAGCTTTTAGTTCCAGCGTGATTCCCAGTGAGCAGCTCTGAATAATTGCGGAGTTTGATACGACAGCTCCACGCTTGGCTTCCTTTCACGTGCTCCTTGGGCAGCCCTGTTGTGATTGTAAAAGTTGGATTCAGAGTCACTGGACTGGCCTTAATGGAAGCTGGAAGGTGATTTCTTCCTTGAAAGATGGTTTAGTTAAGGCTTTTTCTGTTGCAAACCCCCCTTGTGAGTCAACTTATTTCACGTACAATCACTTTGCTGTTTGTGCCTTTCCCTTTTTCATGCCGTGATAGGATTAATTACGGGCAGCTAGTGACTGGATTGCAGAGCACTTACCGCTGGTGATGTGGGGAGCCCGCTGGCTGCCTCCTCATCACATGATCAAACAAACTCCAGTTTGCCCAGTGCCACAGTGAGAAGAGTGTTTACTGGTTTTCATTGGAACAAGAACTTCTGATTTGAAATGACTGGTTGGAAACGGAAGAATGGGAAGAGAAAGAAAAGAGAAATAGCAATATTTACATTCATTCTGCAGGTGAACTGAAGCTGTGTTTTTGATATAAAGAACAGCAGCTGCCGAAAGCAAAGCAGAGCTGGGTGGGAGTCAGCGCTGCACAGCAGAGGCAGGGTCCAGTCCCTCCGCACCAGCTGAGCCATTCCCATCAGCAGCTTTACCCAGCTGCAGTTTCTGGGAAGCAAATGTGCCCAAGTCAAGGGGGCTCTGCCATGCAGCCCGGGCACCCTGCCGTGCCTGGAGGACGCTTGGCTGGGTACCACTATCCAGCCAGTCAAAACGTTTGCTTCTGTCCTTATTCCTCCCTCCTTTCTACCTCCACCCAGGGCTGGCAACTTAAGTACCAGGCACCTCCTTCCAGAGCTGGCTATTCCCAAATACTTTGTTGGAAATTATGACTAATGACTTGGATACCTACTGGGATTTTGCAGATTTTTTAAGCAGCACTGTCTCAGAGCAGAAGGATGCCTTCGTTTTCTCATGGCCCATGCAGGCTGGACTGCAGCCACAAGAAGTTCTGGTCGGTGGGCTATGGTTATCTGGCAGGACCAGGCTGCTGCCTGCGGGCAGCGCTCCGTTCTCCGAGTGGCTTTGCAGCTTTCCCTCTCTCGTTCCTGCATCTTGCTCCAGTGGAGTGGGAGGGTTTGGACAGCCCCGCGTGGGGACCAGAGGGAGCGATGTGTCCTTGTCTTCACTTGGCGTTGGTGGCCGGGTGGCCACCATGGGTGTGTTGGGTCTGGATGCCTCTGAGACTTGTATCACGGGGAGGGCGCTGTCGGCCGCTGCGTGGCCGTTCATGTGCAGCTTCTTCATGTGGTGCACAACGGCTGCGGCGTTGAAGGCTTGCTGGGGAGGAAGACAAAAACCCCACGGTGAGCACCTAGGGACACTGGGCCGGGTGGGTGCTGTGGGATGAACGGACCGTCCCGTCCCCCTCGGGCAGCGGCTGCGTGCGCGGCGCTGTGCTGGTTCGCACCGACGGTTTGCGCTGCGCGTGGGAAGTGGGACGTGCTCGTTCCTGGCGTAGGCACCGCAGTTTCCATTGAGGGCAAACTGCAGCTGCTTTTGAAGGCTACAACCACTTCTGCGTGAGGAAATGGGGGGGGAAACGGCTATAAACTACCCTGTGGTGTGAAATGGAAGACTAGAGCTGAATTTTGAATGTAAGTGTTTAAAATGCTATTGTACCCGTGGTTCCTTTCCTCTCGCCACCCAAATTCTGACTAAAACTCTTGATATCAATGAAGTGCCAATTTATCTTCAAGGCTGAAAGAAGGAAAAGCTGGATTAAGCTCCCAGATGGGGAGCACCGATCTCACTCCCTTAGTATAAAGGCATTAACCCTCTCCTCCTCCCCTTCACTTTCTTGGCGAGGCCACTATAGCACAACGTTTGCGGTAAATCTACTGGGATGGGTTGCAGCAGGGAGTATTGGTGCAAACACGCCATAAACAGTAACGGCAGACAATTTTCAGGCAGCCCTTGGAAGATCTCAGCTCTTGGGTTCTTACCCACCCAGCTGAAGCCTGGCTCGTTGCTGGATGGCAGCAACTGGCATTTGGTAGCGGAATGGCTCTAGGCTCCCACCAGCAGACGACTTACCCTCCATTTGCTCTTTGCAAAGTTTTTCTGAATCTGAGCGCTGACAGATGGGTATATGTCACGGTGAAGGGCTGTATTTCCATTAATCCTGCAGATGGGGAGAGAAGAAAATGGGCTCGTAGGCAGATGGCATTCGTAAGGCATTCCATATTCTGGAGGCAACTAACTGCTTTGTACGTTCAATCAGCAATAATTAAACCCAAAGGAAAAACAGCAACAAAATGTAACACAAACACACACTTCAAAGCTTGGAAAAGCTCGGGGTGGGATTTCTTCTTTGCCTCTGTTTATGGAGGCAAATATGCACAAATTGCATCTTTAATTATTCATCATTTTTTTTCTTTGCGCACAAAAAAAAGCACCCAGGGCCGCGCGGAGGCAGACGGTGACGTTAATAACGGGGGCTGGGGAGACACCCCTGTTCTGAGCTACCACCGAGCACGTGGAGCAGACACGGAGGCTGGAAAATCCCGTGGCCACCGGCTACTGCCAGGGCCCTGGTCCGCTCACCATGGGTGCCGCAGGGCTTCTTCACAGGTAAACCTCGTGTTCGGGTTTTTCTCCAGTAAACGCCGGATGAAATCCTTGGCTGTTTAGGAGGGGAGGAGAAGCAGAGAGAAAAGGTTATTTTCTCCTCGTGCTGAGATACGATCCCAACAGGACGCAGCAAACGCCAGTGGATGAACGTGGCGAAGCCCAGCCCCGGGAGGGAGGCGTTGGCGCTGCCTCGTTGCTCCGTTAAAAGGAGATGTTTGGAGCGAAGGGCTCCAGGTGAAAACACTGTCGCTGGGGACGTACCAAATTTCGGGCTTAGATTGGATGAATTTGAGTTGAATTATTGAGCTAAAAAGTAACTCTAAAAACCATAAGAAAGTGCAAAGTGAGCAGATTTAGAAGTTGCCCTAAAGAGCAGTTACATCCCTCCCCTTTTTTTCTTTTTTCTCTTATTTTTCAGGGAGGGTTGTGGTGGTTGTTACTGAGTCCTAACAAACCTCACGCTAGTTTTGTTTGTATGTATAAAAGATTGATGTTCAAAATATGCTGCCGAGATGCTGTCTTCAGTAAACTCGCGGTGGGCGAGCTCCGCAGGCAGGTTAGTGCGGTAGAAGGGTGCTGGCAGGGTTTGCTGTATTGTGTAAGGGAACGCGACCTGATGGG